GAGTTCCAGATTAAATCTCGGGTGAAAGGCAGCACCGTGGATGTGGGAGCTCAGGAGCTCTGCCTAAGGCACTCCGTTTGCCTTTTTCTGTGTTTGGACGGAGAGCGTGTGAAAGATGCTCTGTGTGGACGGGGGAGAGCAGCGGCGAGCGGGAAAGCCACATGAAGCGAGACCTCGCGTGCAGAGCCGTCCGGGGCCCTGGCACGCTCCGGGACGCACTGACATCACTGCGGACCGCAGGGCCAGATGTGCGCGCGGCGCTTCCCGCATTAAACAGAAATACAGTTACAGGAAATGAGAACTTTTTTAGAACTGTAGTTAAGTGCCATTATTACTAATCAAACAATGTAACCCAGCCAATCAAAACAATTAATATGCTTTAACCCACATGAGTAAAATGCTTCTGGTATGGAGGGAGTCTAGTATACAGATTTTTAAACAGTGGAGTATGCTGGGTGGCTTGGGCTGGGCTTTTTTTCCACTCTAAAAGTTGACTTTGTGTTTCCCATGCTGATTTGACCACAATTGTAACATTAATGTTGTACTTCATTGCAAATGGTCTCGGCATTCAGATCATGACTCGAGGCTTTTGAATGTAGTGGTTTGGGAAAAAAAAAACAAACAAACAAAAAGAATGAAACTGTAAAATTAAGAGGAAATCACCTCAAATGAGGGATTAAAACTCTGACCAATAGTTCTAATGTAGCTTGAAGAAGCTAAACTGAAATTTGCTTATGGGACGGGCCAAGAGGAACAGTGTATACAAGTAAGTGGGATTTCAGACATTAGATGTTACTGCAGCACCAAAAGAGAACCAGGAGAACATGGCGGGTGGTTTTGGGAAAGTCCGCGGTGGATCTAGTAGCCTGTGCAGACCCAGCATGTGGATCTGGCTCAGACACAATCTGGGCCCAGACTCACATCACTCCACAGCCTTAGAAAGATGCCCGATTTCAAACCCCCCTCCCCCAACCCCCGGATCTTTTAAGGATCCTGTAAGAATGCAAGCTGGGTGCCGCCACACTTGGGCGCAGGGGGAACACACAGCGGGGGCCCGTCTTCGGCTCGGTGACAGCATGCTGGCTGCAATTAAGCGTCTCGGGGCCGAACATTACTGCTCTCCAACAGAAAACAAATCCATTTCCATTTAGCCGCGTTGAAAGGCCACGAAAGGGTGGGTGAAAAGAGCCCTCTCAGGGTGTCTGTGTGCAGGCCTGGCAGTGCCTATGAGGCACGCTGCTGCGGAAGGGTGGGGACGTTACGGGCCCCTCCAGCGAGATGCGACGTGGACGGCCAAATTGGATTTCTAATTGTATGAGGAGTCGGGCCGCCGTGGGACAATCCCGGGGAAACGGGGCCCGCAGGCCCTTTGTGGGCAGCCGTTGGAGTGCTATTGATATGCCCCCGGACCTCTCAGGGTCATTAAGATGCAGGGGAAGCCATTCTTACCAAATGGGGGGGGGGGGGTGAGCACCGGCTCTCAGTCTCAGAGCAGCATGTGTCTACTCTGGGGGTCAGGCCATAAATATCTAATCCTTTTCCTGCTGCTTTGAGTGACAACAAAACAATTCTTTAAAAAGTTACACCCCCCCCCCCCCCCCACCTCAATTGGCTCCCAATACCCACTCCCCAAAAGGCACAGGCGTACGTATATACTGTACATGCGCCAGTACGCACCAACACGCTACGTTGGCCTCCTTTTTTGCAACCACCGCCGAGACCAAACTCGATCGGTGCAAAACGGATCGTTTGATGCTGCCTGGAAGCGCTTTCCAAGACACAGAGGCCTGAGTCTCTGCGAAATATCCCGAGAACGTACGTGAGGTCATGAGGAGAATGGAAAAAACTTGTGGGGGATGGGGAGAGAGCGCTGGAGATGTTTCTCCCCGTTGTTTTCCAGTTGTCTCTTGTGTTGTGCACTCTTTTAATCTGGCGGGGGGCTGCAGTGGAAGCCTGTCCTGCATCCAGCGCTTTCATTTTGCTCACACAGAGCCACTAAAGAGGAGCAGGAATGTCCTGCGGGGAGGTCGACCCGTCCTCGCCGGCCTGTCTGCCGTGGGGGTCCGGGAGGGGGGGGGGACTATGAGCTCCGTGCTGTCGCTCTGGCAGGAGTCTCCATTACCACCTCCCGCCGATATTCCAGGGCTCCGTGACTCAGCCCCTCTGGCTCCTCCAGCCAAGGCCGTCATCTGCCGTGACGGGGGCCCCCCTCCTCGTGAAAGCGTCCCGAACCGGAGGAGGAGGCGCTGGGCTGGGTGCGAGGCATAGGAGGGACCCCCGGGTGGGTCTGCCGCCGGGCACCGCCTCCTGCTTATCTGGCCGGCCTCTCTCAGCAGGAAGCCGCCAGTGCAGTGTTGACAGACGGAGGAATAAAACAAGGGGACTGAAAAGGTCACTGGGCGGCAGCATCGCTGTCTCGAGGGGCAATAATTTATTGTCAGATGCTGGTCTCGCAAACAAGATTAACAACTGCTGCCTGCTTGGGGCCCACTTACCTCCCACCAAGTTAAATATTCCTGCGCGATAGCGGAGCTCCAGCTATTTAAAGTGCGCGCCGAGGCAATATGACGGAGTGCCTTTTACGCCCCAACATCTCTCCCGCCGGCCGCGTCGTAACGTGCTTTGATATACGCCTGCAGTGCGCGCTGATGTGGAGGAAGAGCGATACGTTTTCATTGATGAAATTTCGCTTATTAAACTTTACCGCAAACCTGTTCCAGCAATGAAATTCGAGTGCGGCTGCTTGTCACCTGAGGTACTTGACGACACGGATGTCATCTGGATTTTTTTAACCAGTGTTTGATACCTGCTGAATATCTAAGCAGGACTGTGGCGTTTTTTTTTTTAATGGCCCATGACTCTCAGATTAAACAGCTGTGATCGGCACATGAGATGTTTGGTATTCCAAATATGAGTTTCTATAACTGGTTTATGCGTTTTTTGTTTAGTATTGTTTCGAATATTTAACGTCCTAAATGTGGCGAGCCCCCCCCCCCCCCCCCAGGTTTGGAAATGCCTTTTTGCCCAGCACATAGGAAAGAAAGCACATTTGCCAAGGTCCCGCTGAGCATTTTTTTAAGCCGGTGAAAAGAATGAATTATTCAGCAGTAAGCGTGCTTACAGCTGGCCATTTGCGAGCTTTGATGTTGGAGTCAGGCGTCTGCATGAATGCCCTTATTGTCATGTTATGTGTACACAGTGTGTGAATGATTGAAAATAGCAAGGCCCTAGCCTCATCTGTTAGAGATTACAGTGCAGGCATGCTGGGGGAAAAGGCTGTAATTGAAAATCCCCAGATGCTGTTTGTTTGGCCGAGGTCACATGATATCCTGGCGTTGCCATGGCCTTAACCAAATGCTGCCCAGTAAGAAAGCAAGAACCTGGCCTTTAGCATGGGTCCCCTTTTTCAGGGGCTGGGCGGAGCATCTGGCTGGGCGGAGCATCTGGCTGGGCGGAGCATCTGGCTGGGAGTGGATGCTGTTCTATGCTGCCATTTCTGTGTATGTGTGTGTGCTTGTGTGTGTGTGTGTGAGAGAGAGAGTGGGATACCAATAAACATTTCCACTTCTCATATGAAGAAATCCTTCACCTACTAGAAGTAAACACAGTACGGTTTATGTAGCTGTAAAATAAGTCCTGAAGCATCTGTACAGGAGCTGGCAGAAAGCACTTCAGGGTAAACTATCCGTGCAGGATAGGGATACATGGCAGGTGGGCGGGGCCTGCCGTGGGGCGTGCCGTTCATGTGACACACCTGTCCGCAGGGGACGCCCTCGGTGCAAAGCAGGTGTTCCCCAAGCTGACCTCGTTGACCTCGCTGATCTAATGCCTGCCTGCACAGAGCGCTAACGGCTAGCGGGCGCTGACATCCTGGCCCTCTGAAGCCATGCTGCGATGCCCAGGCTAGACATAATGTCTATGAAACAATTATCCAGTAGTCATAAAGCCCCCCAATGAACAGGGTTAGTGATCTAGTACTGAAATAAAAATTGTTCCTGTACTGTTTCTTTTTTCAACATGAACCTAATTTAAATTGAAAAAGGCACTTAAATCTATAAGAAGAAATTACCTGATTTACACAGAGTAATGTTTGGTGTACTTTGAGGACAGCGTGGTGCCAGAAGAAGTCTCAAATTTTCAATCCTCCCACGGAAATTACACACTGCCTTTTAAATCAGAGCTGTGTGTGCCTTAGAGTTGTGTTTCCAAACCTGGTCCTCAGAGACCCCCAGATCGTTCACATTTTTGCTCCCAGTCTGCTGGGAGGGAGCAAAAACATGGACTGTCTTGGGGTCCTAGAGCAGCAGACTGAGAAACACAGCATTAGAGTCTTCACCATTGGCTTATACATATATGCCTGCTTGGTCTGGGCTTGTTACATTATAACCAAGAGGAACACAAGGCTCTATGGCAACCACAGCCTACAGCTGGGCATGTAATTAGAAGGCGTCCTTACCTATAATTTGTGTAATAGTTTTGGGTGGCTGTGTGTTATTAACATATGAAAAGGCTAAGCAGGGGTCATTGTGCGACGCTTCAGTAATTAGGAGAAAGCTGAGGACAGAAGAATGTTTCTGACTGCCATTAATTGAAAATCACTACAAAGCTATGGTTTAATTATATTTTAGTGCGTATTAAATGAATACATTTCCGTCGCTATTCTGCCCCTGTAACAGTATGAAGGTCGGAATCCGTTCCCTTTCACTGAGTGGGACTTGGAAGAAATTGCGATTGAATTAGCTTTGACGTAAAAGGCTGTACACAAGGCCTTTTTCATGGTAATGCCACTTGTTGCTTTTTTTTGTTCAAATGCAGTACTTTTGATGGAATGTATATTCCTTGATCTCATAGATATACCCAGTGCTTCATAGAGTTTGTGTACTATATGCTTACCGATTAAGTGTTGGGGAAATATCATTGACCGAATTCTTCGGGTGTTTCTCAGTTATGACCTTGTAATATTACATGTTTTATTCTATTTTTCTCTCCTATCCACACAGGGAGAAATGAGTTGATAGCCAGATACATCAAACTACGAACGGGAAAGACAAGGACGCGGAAGCAGGTAAGACGGGCCGGAATGGACGCCTGCATGCTTGGTGATGCAAGTCGCTCGGAGTCTGGCTGACTAACAGTGCTTTGGATGGGCCGGGCTGCCATTAGAGCTATACACAGAGGCCTGGGCCCCCGAGCCGTAGCGTAACGGCGACAGGGACACCTCGGCTGCGTGTGTCCGCCTAGCCGGCCGGCCTGTCGCTCGCGCGTCACGTGTGCACAGCATGGCAGCCAGAGTGCCGCACGCTTGGCCCCGCCCCTCGCCCCGCCCCCCGCCCCGCCTGCCCTCCAATCACGCATAGCCCACTGAGCCGAAATATTGCCCAACACATGCAGATGCTTGCATTCATCTGTCTTTATCAAGATGCCCTATTAACTCTTTACCGTGGTTAATTAATCCTAATCCAGCACCAATTCAAACAAAATTTAAAAATTCAAGAATTCTCCGTTTATGGGGACATTATTTCAAGAATGTGTCCACTCAAATTCACATGTCTACTCAGACATAAGTATGAGGACATCAAATTGATTATGCTGGTTAAATATTCTTTAAATGAGTTTGGGGTATACCGATATCATTGTTTATTTTATACTGCCCTGTTTTGCTTCGGTTTTCAGCAGATCATTAGTAGCGTCCAATCTGTCACAAGTTCAGAATAGAAATAGTTTTTAACGCATTCTAAATTAGTAGGCCCATTAAAGGAATACAAAAGGTACGATTTGCATATAAATTGCCCACAACAACTTAAATCAGGAGCAAATGAAAACTTAATGAACTTGAGTTTCACTCTGCAAGTTTATCAGTGATTTCATTTAAATCTCAAGTTAGGCCGACATCAGATAGATTTATGTGACCTGTTACTTAGCGCAAAAATTGTAAGGGCACGTTAAACTTGAAACACGAAGCGGGAACCCTGTGAGGCTGCTGAGATACTCTTCAAGCTGAAGTCATTCTTATGACCGTTGGCTCCAGGGTTCATGATGAATGCCTACATGTCAAGAGCAACACTCAAAGAAGCCTCTGAATTGATTAGCTTGCGGGGAAAAGGTCATATGTTCAGAGTTACTCTGTAATTCATTCTTTTATAGGTCAATGGGATCTACTGGTTGCCTTCCAGTTGTTAGTATGCCTGCTATGACAAGAGAATTGTTCTAGAACGCCTTACTGCTATAAATCTCCCACGATTGCTCATTTGAAAACACACGATTCGTCTAACATTAATGCTTGCAGCGTGCGTTTTTGTTAAAATAATTAATACGTGGAACAGTCAAAGCCATTGTTAAGTCATTAAAGCATGTAAGGTGTAGTAATATTTAAAGTGAATCACCCATCGGGAGGTACAGAATTGTTCTGGGCCTCACATGGGGAGAGAGAGTAGCAGGCGCGTAACCCCCCCGGGCTTCCATTAACACGTTACTCTCGAATACCCCTCCACCCCGCATGAGTCGCTTCAACAGCCACTTGTGCGTGATTGGCCTGATTAAATGTAGGAGAGAGGAACATTGAATGAGATGTAATCTGCCATCGCTCAAAGCCGCCCTTCCTGGCCACTGAGGTCCATGTCGCCGCGCATTTATTATTAACCGCCATTTAAGGAGCAGAACGTCTGGGCGTTCGGCTGGGCCCGGGCAGGACCCCTTGAAGGGTACTGGGGCGTCTTGGTGTGATGAGGCTCGCTGGGGCTCGCGTCCGGGCCGGCACATGCATGTTCCTCAATCAGCGCACTTAGGTGATGAGTATAACGAAGGTAGCGCTTGGGTTGCTCGGGGCTTGGTGTGTGGCTGAAGTGCGTCTCTCTCTGCTGCCTGAAAAAAAATCACCCGTTTCCTAAAGTGTCTTCAGTGAACACATGTGTGATTCTTACCACGTTTTGGTTTTCTTGTTTTTTTTTTTCTTGTTTTGTTTTTTTTTTTTGTCATTTCTTTTATGATTTTGGAAAAAAAATGGAGGTGTCTAGTCACATACAGGTCTTAGCAAGAAAGAAAGTTCGCGAAATCCAAGCTGCCATCAAGGTACGTCTGGCTTTGCCCAGTTGCAGGGGGGCTTTTCATCGCCATGGTTACAGGCTGTTCCTTTGTTTTCCTCCCTTCCCTACTCTGCAGGTGTCTAGTCACATTCAGGTTCTTGCCAGAAGGAAATCTCGTGAGTTTCATTCCAAGCTAAAGGTATGCGCTTTTCTGCTTTTGGGCTTGTGGTTGCTATGCGTTTCACTTCCTGTTTCCCTTGGTGATGGAATGAATGCCTGGTGCAGTAATTCCTGTATCCTAGATTCTGTGCATGTGACTGTTTAGCATTCATAATACTACACGCCTGCATCCATAACTACATCCCTCTCAATGCACATATGTATCCAATTTAATTTTCTGTCTTTTTTTTACTTCCTGTTTAAGTGCATTTGTTTTGAGATTAGTCGATTCTTTGGACTTTTAACATTATCAAACTTAATTATAGATTTTATTTATAGAATTCTGCTAACAAACCTAGTCAGATATTTCACATAACTTCTGTACATTTTATTCATTTTTATTAATAATTTTAAGGATTTATGGCTATGTTTATGTCGTTATCTCTTCATGTTCAGAGAATTCTGCTGAGAATTGTAAGTGTAGTAAAAATGCATTTAAATGATACAGACACATTCAAAATTCAAAAACGAATTCAAAACAAATGGCACTTAAACAATTAACTGTCTTGTTGAATGTCTTGCTTCAATGGTAATCAGCATGATGTTGTGACAAAGAATGTGTTAATAACAAACTCGGCGCACGCTGAAGAGGGCTTTGTGTAAATGAGGCCGCATGCTGGCAGGATGCATTGGCTGTTGGTGAGTGGCTGAGTGCTAGGGTCAAAGGTCATCTGTTAGAGGTCACATGTATGCAGCTTGCATTCAGACACACCAACCCCCTCTCGCTGTGCGTAAAAGGCTTTGGACTCAGTTTGCTAGAGAGTATGACTCCTCTTACTTGTTTTAATCCAGTAACGGCTTCCACTCATATTCTTGGTGTAGGGCATGTTAGATATTAATCACCAGGCTATGCTACGCTAATGCTCCTTCTCCTTTCTGGCTGTCCATCGCGTTCCTTATGCTGCTTTCCTTGGGGAAAAAGAGAGAAAAAAAAAAAGGAAAATCTAGTTTCATCCTGGCTTTCTGTGAACATAACCAGTGAAATTTGGAAAAGACGTGTCGCTTTCGCCCCAAAATGAATATCATTGTGCAAAGGTGCAGGTTCCTTTTGAATGGCTCCCTGGCGAGGAGGCCCGCCTTGGCCCATTTGGGCACTCGGAGACGCGTCGCCTTATTTCTCTCCTCGTGTTTGGAGGAGACGACCGGCCCCCCTAGTCCCGGCACACTTTCCCACTTTCACCACTTAAGACTGATGGATCACTGGCCGTTCACTAGCCCGTGTGCTACCAGCTGTGAATGCACGGCCTTTCAGGGACGCTGGAGGCCGAGCGAGTAAAACACCCACCTTTTGTATAGCTTACCGTCTACCCTCATCTGAGGCAAATTAGGAAGATCAGGGAGGGAGGATTCAGACTCCGACCCCCCATTTGTACTCGGCCCATTGTACTTCCGCCCGCTTCCTTTTCTCATCTTCCGCGTGTTAAGTGAAATGACAGCCATTACGGGTCCATATTCCATGTGCTCCTAAATGACGGCTTCCTCCGGTGGCCCAGCTGCAACTTGTAGAACAATGTAAGCGTATCCCAGGCACTGAGCGGCGTGATAAACCCTGATTACGCCGGAGACGGGGCCCCGCGCCCGCGCCCCCGCGCCCCCGCGCCCCCGCGCCCCCGCGCCCTCGCGCAAGCTGGCTCCCGTCAGCTAGCCGTGCGGCCCGTCTGGGCGCTTAAACGTAAAAAACTGCTGCCACCTTTAATCAATTACCTGCTACCTGAAAAGTGCCAACCGTCCATAATTAGATTTCAGTCCTTGCTTTTAAAAGGAATGACAACACAGGAGTCTCGGGATGGAACGTTCTATGAAAAATGAATTGATTTTCCACTGATTGCATGCAGGGTATAACAATAACAAATGTTGTACAGTGAGAAAAATCATTCTTGTATATATTAGGTTACCAGTATAAGACCCAAGAGTAACTAAGCGACCCGTTACAATCATCCGGATGTGATACATACAACAACACACTGATATTGTTGGGCGATTATTTCACAGAACTTGTGTACATATGATTTCTGCCGAGGCAGCAGTGATCCTGCTAAAATAATCTACTGTAAATTGTTACCCTTTTAAAACAGAATCATTGAAAATAGCTGATTCCTGAGGGTCTTTATGCCATTAATGTCACTGTAAATAACTCTTTGTCTGGAGTATGGTCAAAAGCTCCAGTACAAAAAAGCGTTTTTATCCGTAATCTTTCACAAATCTTAGTATTGCCTAAACAAATCACTGATTATACAGTTGTATAGCTTTTTATTAAATTGTCAGCTACAGTCTACAAATACCTGTAGTATGTATAAATGTTTTCAGTGTATCTGTATCTTACAATACCTATAGCATGCGTGACTGTATTTCACTGTATCTATATGTAAGGTACTTGTGCAGTGGACTTGTTGCCAGTGATATTTGAGATATATTTGTTCTGCGGAGGTGAGGGAGGAATCAGGGTTTAGTAGTCTGGCAGTTGCCCAGAATTGGGGCAGCTGTCCTCCCGTATTTCCTACGCTGCCCTTGTGTATGTGTGGGTACGCTCTGAAGCGGTCTGGGGTAAGTATCTGAAAGGATACATTTCTGAGCACCTATGGGGTGTCCCCCTCGACGGATGTCGGCTTCTGGGATCGTCACGGTTTCTCCGTGATCTGCGTTCGGTGTTTCCTGTCCTTGATGATCTGTGTGGTCCCCGGGGCGTCAGGACTGTGGAATTACAGTGAACCTTGTTTGTCTGTACTCAGGTCACGAGCATGGTAAGTATCACTCTCAGCTGTGCTCTCGGCCCTGTCTGTCAGCTAGACTGCCAATACCTCTGTGCCCGGCTCCGCCCCCCCAAAGCATCTCGCTTCTCATTGGCCGCTGTCGCCGCCTCAAGCGCCTCATCTCCCCGCCTCCGTGCAACGCCCCTTGCCAGCATGCTCACCTCAAGTGTTTGCTTTGTCATGAACCTGTCCGTGTGCCCCTCCTCCGCTCCCCCTCCCCAAATGCTCGGCAGCTGGTCCTTGTAATTGTGGCGCGCTGACACCTCCCCTAAATGTTTATAGAGCGTTTAGGACTCGCTGCCCACTCTTGTGCTGGACGAAGAAGCTTGGGTGGGGGGGGGGGGGGCTTTGTGCTCCACTGCAGCACTAAGGTAGGGTGATGACAGGAACACAAAGCAAGCAGTTCTCCAACGAAGACTTTTCTGTTGGCNGGGGGGGGGGGGGGGCTTTGTGCTCCACTGCAGCACTAAGGTAGGGTGATGACAGGAACACAAAGCAAGCAGTTCTCCAACGAAGACTTTTCTGTTGGCTATTTCTACCAGTTAAAAACAATTACGTTCACCATATTTGAACATTGCGTTGATTTTTAAGATTAAAGCAATTGGAATATAGTCTCTTCATTTAGACTTTTCATTCAAGCATCACATTAAATATTAATTTCCTTAAAGGGAATTAAAAAAAATCTAAGACTTTGTGACCTTCACTGCTTGCTTTTTTTTTTTTTTGGATAATCCACCCGTATGGCTCAAAGCAGGCTGTTTAGGTCTCTTAGAAAAACACCTTGATCTTTTCAGTCTTAATAAATATCACACGTCAAGCAAAAGAATGGCCAAAGTAAGAAAGTCCAGCATTCGTGTAACTCTGAAAACTCATATATGTATGTATGCACACATGGATATACAGGAACTGAAATGTCACGGTCATACTTCACTGGTGGCGCCAAGGCTGTAGGTGCATGCTGTTGTGCTGCTGTAGCTTAGCGTGCATGGTTGGCTGGGTGGAAGGCTCCCCCCTCTATATGTGGCTGCTCTCGGTCGTGTGCTTGCAATACTTCCCTCCCACCCTCCCTCCCCCACCGGCTTCGTCAATGCTGAGCCTTTTGTGAAACCTGTTGAAGGACCAGACGGTAAAGGACAAGGCCCTGCAGAGCATGGCCTCCATGTCGTCGGCCCAGATCGTCTCTGCCACCGCCATCCACAACAAGCTGGGCCTGCCGGGCATCCCGCGTCCCGCCTTCCCCGGGGCGCCTGGGGTAAGGGGCCCGCCGTCACCAGCCAGACTAGTGTCGAGGGCCCAAATCCTGTTACACACAGAGGGCGGCTCTGAGACAGCTCTTGTCTGACAGGCACGCGGAGGACACAAATGCTAGGCGAGATAATGGTGTCGTGGGCGCTTGCCTGTGTGCTTTTTATCACTTTGACAGTTATTTATGAACTCCCAGGACAGACCTTTAAAGGTAGCAGCAGACTGTGGATGTGGGCGAGCTTGTTTTGCTCGTCCATTTATTTATCTCTCCTCCAGTTTTGGCAGGGAATGATATCGACAAGCCAGCCCGGATCATCACAAGAGTGAGTACTGTAGGATTTCTGGAATACAAGCTACACCCCTCCCTCTTGTCCTCCTCTGTCTTACACGCCAGTCTTTTCTCCCTCTGTTTGATCAGTGGTGCAGGAATTTGTGTTTTGCAAATAGAGAAAAAGGAAGGATCCAAGGAAAAAAAAAAAAACCTTGAATCTGCTTTCTCTTTATTTCTGTTGTATCATCCCCAGCAGTTTCTTCAATGTGACTTTTTTTTTCTTGTTCCCTTTCCCTAGCATTAAACCATTTGCCCAACAAGCTTATCCCATTCAGCCAGCCGTAACAACGCCCATTTCAGGTAAAGGGGTCGTTTGTAGATCAACTTTATTTGTGGATGAATATTTATTTCCTACATACAGTATTAAAATCGTCTATGCTCCATATGTTGAATAAAATTAAATATATTGGTGTTCTGCTGCTGGTTTCATCTTCCTCTTTTGTTAAAAAAAAAAATAGTTTATTCAAGAGTTTATCTTTCATATACACAGTCAACAGTCTGCTCCCACTATCCAATGAAAGTCTTGCATAAGTCTTACTCTTTCCATTAAACACAAAGTAGCGCAAAAACACAGATCAGAAGTACAAATTAAGGAGCGAACTATAAATTAAGGAGCACATACAGTAGCACAGTAGATACAAATACATATCTAGTGTTTTTAAGATGTGTCTGCATCACATGAGGTGTGGGCGGAGTCCTAATTGGTGTTTTCAAACTGTAGGGTACGAGCCCCCCACTGCCCCGGCCCCCACCGTCCCAGCCTGGCAGGGCCGCTCCATCGGCACCTCCAAGCTCCGGTTGGTAGAGTTCTCCGCCTTCCTGGAACAGCAACGGGACCCGGACGTGAGTTCCCACTCCCCCATCTAAAGGACCAGCCAAAAACAAAAAATAAAACGCCGGAGTCTGTTGTGCAGAACTTAAACCTGGCTCTTGATCAACACCCAGAGGGCTTCCTCCAAGACACAGAGCCATACAAAGAGTTGATCTTTCAATGGTGTTTCACTTACTGTTTCTGTCGCATTCATCTCTGTTTGAGCCATCACTCTAAATCTTTTACATATACAAAGAACGGCAGAGAAACCTTCACTGGCACAAAAAAGCCTCATATATCAACGACCCTGAACTAATTTTTCGAAAAGTGTTACACATATTTTATTATTTGCCCTGGACAGGGGTTATCTGTCATGGTTTGTCTGCATTCCTAAGTGATTTTATCTGTCTATTGATATTGCGTGACAAGAGTCATTTGTCTTACATTGTGCAGAATATCTGTAATGGTCGCGTCTCATGAAAGCCAAAGCCGCTGTTGGCGCGCAGGACACCGTTACCCCGCGCAGGCGTGACAGTGCTTTGAATCGACCCTAATAATGAAATCAAACAGATGCCGTGGTTCCTGTAGCCCTCAGTAAGACTTTGGTCAGTCGCTGCGTGTCGAGGAGACTTGATTCTAACGCGATTTCCTTTTCCTGTCCAGTACAACAAGCATCTCTTTGTGCACATCGGACAGACGAATCACTCCTACAACGATGCCTTGCTGGAGTCGGTGGATATTCGTCAGATTTATGATAAATTCCCCGAAAAGAAGGGGGGCTTGAAGGAGCTCTTTGGCAAAGGCCCGCAGAATTCCTTTTTCCTTGTAAAGTTTTGGGTGAGTTCTAACGCCATAGAGACGCCGCATTGATGTACTGACTCACTCATTCTTTTTTAAACAGTTTGGACACACACACACACACACACACACACACATGCACACACAAATGCACGTCCACACACACATGCACACACAAATGCACGCCCACACACACACACACACACACACAGACTGTGTGTAATTGTTAGACCAGTTTGACTAGCTGCTGGGTGGGTGTATATGTGTGTGTGTGTGTGTGCGCGCGCTTGCGCGTGTGGGTGGGTGTGTGTCAGTGTTGCAGAGACAGGCCTGGAAGGCCCCAGCTCAGGCCTCAGTGGGCTTGGCTCTTTGAGCCGTTCAGGCTTTATTGAGGCTTTGTTTGAACACCTGCCTGCTGTCTGAAAGGTGCAAGGGATTATGGGAGGGAGGGAGTGCCGATTGCCCTCCGCTGATGGAGACACACAGTGCTGTTAACACCTTTGTTCCTCTCAGGGTTTGAATATTCACTGTACTCTGCAGTGGAATAATGTCGTCCAAAGGCTTTTCAGATGTACATTCAGGCGTTCTTCTTTCAGCAGATGGGTAATTCCTTTGGAAGCACACTTTCTAAAGCATTTTTAAATTTAAGGAATGTTGGAAAAGTTATCCACGACTAAAAATACTGCTTCTGCCTGATGGGGGAAAAACTGCAACTCATTTAAACAAAAAACACAAGCAATAAAAACCTGTTTTTTAAATAATAATTTATACATAAACTCAAACCATTATTCTGTATTTTATTTGCTAATAAAGTTAGCAGTTTCATGGAACACATATACACACAGACACTAAATTCGTCCATAACGAGCTTGTTGATTTCAAGCAGAACGTTGAAGAATGCTCACTGATGTTTAATTTGTGCCTGTAAAATGTGTGTTGCCATGTTTGATATCGGGGAGCATGAGAACTCGCGATCAAAGCCCCTGCCAATTCCGCTCAATATTTCAAAACAATGGAGTGACCCAGCAGACTGCTAATGGCTGTTTAAACATCGCATCCGTTTACCGAAATGCAAAATGCTAGCCAACAGCAGCCGACAAAGTAGGCCTCATCACAGCCAGAACGAGCCTTTTCAAATTCTTTTGAAGTGCCGAGCGGATCTGAATTTCAAATGAAATGCAAAGTCTGCACAATAATACCCCCACAGAATATTATATCAGAATATTACTGGCTGTCTTAATGAAGGAGTAGAATGCTGGACACTGATATTTGCTCTTTTATTGAGATAATGAACACAACGTCTACATAAGCCCAGGAGGCCCCTAATATGAGTATCTCTCTCTCAGGAAGTACAAAATCACCTTTTAGCAAAATGACACTCCTTGTAGATTTATTTTGTTCTCGGTTATATTATCTTAGCCATCCGAGTGTAGCTTGGAGATGCGCCTTTTTACATCAGGATGAATTTAATCTCCAGAATCAAAAGTGTTTCAAAGTTCCCCGTATTGTGTGGAGAGGAGATTTGAAAGCCGTTGCACTTCAGTTACACATAAGAGGCAGCAGCTCAGCAACAGTGTTCCGTTAGGCCCATTTTCTTCCGGGAACTAATTATTTAAGTACTAAAATTCTGTCCTGGACTTATTTTTAGCTTTATGTATATTGATGTTTTACAAGTTGCCTCTAGAGGGCGCCTTTATTCGGCACATCTTCGGAACCTCAGCAAACCTTTAGAGCAGGCGTTGCTGTAGGTTCAGATCCCTTTGGTAGTCATATTTACTGGAGAAGAACTGCACTTTTGACCTTAATTTGTTGAAGAGCCCCATGGATTAGATGTATATTTTCTGTCATTTCTGTCTGCCCACAGGCCGACTTGAACTGTAATATACAGGATGACACAGGGGCCTTCTATGGGGTGACCAGCCAGTATGAGAGCTCCGAGAACATGACAATCACCTGCTCCACAAAGGTGTGCTCCTTTGGAAAGCAAGTAGTGGAAAAGGTGGAGGTGAGTAACTGAATGAAGCAGACACAATGTTTACTAATCAGGCATGGAAATGTCTCCATGCATCAGTGCTATGCTAATGTGGGTCTGTGGCTGTTATGGTTATGTGCTTGGGAACCCTTTCTTAATTTTTTAAAAAAATATTCTACACTCTATGCAAAGTTTTATAGAAAATTTCCATAGCTTCTGTAACAGAAATTCAACTTGATGGAAAATGATATTGTTTTGTTTTGGGGAAATTACAGATTATTGCATGCTACATTATAAAGTACAAATGTATCGTTAAAACATATAAGTAATTATAATTGAGGATCTGCATTGGCCCTTTGAGAGCCCACGTGAATGCTTTTGCTTTGCTGAACACCTCTCCCCAGACTGAATATGCGCGGTTTGAGAATGGACGCTTCGTGTACAGAATAAGCCGGTCGCCCATGTGTGAATACATGATCAACTTCATCCACAAGCTGAAACACCTGCCAGAAAAGTACATGATGAATAGTGTTCTGGAGAACTTCACTATACTGCTGGTAAGCTAGTGCTGTCTTGGTGGTGGCCTTGTTACAGGTCAATGGCTTGATTGTCGTCATTAGGTGGCTATGTGGAGCTGTTATCAGTCAAGTGTAACGCACTCGATCACTCGGGTCTCTCGCTGGGGTGAGTAGTGTAGCTGCTCCATCAGGGGTACAACACTGCTCTTCTGGGCACTTGAACCAATTCTCTAAAGGTTCCTACTGCCTTAACCACTTTACAACCTGCTACTTTGCATCTATATCTGGAGCAGGCCTGAGAAAGGCCTGACTGTACAGAATTGGCACTGGTCCTAATCCTATATCTGACAGCAGAGTTAGGTAATTCAGGTCCAGAGAGTAAAAGTCCAGACCAGGATTTTGTTTCAACCAACCAGTTGAGTACTCTGTGACTATGACTCTTTATGCTCAGCTGGTTGGTTGAAACACAATCTTGGTCTGGACATTTACTCTCTGGACCTGAATTACTCAACTCTGCTGTCAGACAGATGACTGGACATATGCAGTTTGCAGATACCCATCATGCATTGCTGCTATGATGTATGGGACCTGTTACTTACATTACATCTATAGTGGAACAGGACCTCAAATGAGATGAAACTGGATCTGTAAGCAGGGGCAGATTTGTTGTTTCTTGCGCCGCATTCAGAAATTCACTTTGGTCCCTTGTCAAAAACAAAATAAATTGTTAGCGAGTAGATTCAGAAGATTAGAGTTGGTTAGCAGACCATGATCCTGCAGCTTCTCCTAAATTAGGAATGCATTTATTTTTTATTTAGTTTAGTGACTGTTTGAGGCCAACAGGTGGCAGCACACACATGCGTGGTTTCAGTGGCGGTAAACATGGGCGCTGCCCGTAAGGGAAAGAAGCTGGCTTGCTGTGCCATGACCCCCCCCCCCCCTCCGCATACAAGCAAGCGGCGCGTGACGCGGACCCCTGTCCCCCTCTGCCGCAGGTGGTGACGAACAGAGACACGCAGGAGACACTGCTGTGCATGGCGTGCGTGTTCGAGGTGTCGAACAGCGAACACGGGGCTCAGCATCACATCTACCGGCTGGTGAAGGAATGAGAACCCGCACGGCCTTTTCGCAGAAACACCTTTCACTCACACAGACTGAGAACCTCAGCAACAGCGGCAGTGCCTCTAAATTAAAATCAGACCCAGATTGCTTTTTCGGTCATGTTTGGGTGAAGCCTATTATTATTATTACTATTATTATTATTACTATTATTATTTGACTTAATGTATATGTGTATGACTGCAGCTGTGAATTGCGGTACAGTTGTATTATGTTTTGATACAGAAGTTCAATTTAATGGATGACTAGTCAATGTTTGTAGGAAGATGTATATATGCCAGTGGCAGCGCATAACGGAAGACAGAGTTCTCTGTTGGATTGAATCTGGGCAACGGAATAATTTTCCTTTTGTTTTCATATTGTAATGTCAATTAAGGAAAAAAAAATTAACAAAGAATAGTAGCTTTGTTTTCATGGGTTATGTAAACTACATTATATGTATTTCGAGTGTGTATTTGTGTGGTCGCTTGTGTGTTTGTATATATGTATATACATACACACACATACATTTTCCAAAGAGAAGTATTTGAAATATATAATTTTTTTTCGATAAGTACATTTACAAATGAAAGCTATTTAGAATGAAAGATTGTGAATACTTATCACAACAAGGACACTACACAACATTTGTAGCTTTCAGGGAGGTAAGAGACCCCAGAAAAGTAAAGTAAAATGCTCCACATCACTGAGTCAGGTGACATACATACAGAAGAGTGAATGCACTGTGATAATATCTATGTATTTACGGCATAAACATGTCTGTCTCGGCCCAAGCCTGGACAACGCTTGCATTGCAATAAGAAACTCATTGAACTTACCCCTTTAAATTATCCTGTGCTGTGCAAATGTTTATTTCTCTCCCCCCCCCTCCCCCCACGTGAATGGGAAACAAAAAGAAGGTCTTTAAGAACATATAACGCGAGAGACAAGAGCACTGCTTTGGAGTGGAACGTCACCCTGTCCTAAGCACTTGGGTTTTCTGGTAGGACATGCCTTACTGAGGTTAGCTGTTGTTTTTGCCTTTTAGACTATAGACAAAAGAAATGTATGTGACAGAAGACAGGGGCTGACAACTGTAGGAGTAGCAGGAAAATGGGAAACCATGTGATTTTAGTGGCTGTCATATTGTGTGTAATTCCAGAACAAGCTATATGTTTGGCCACTTTTTCCCCCCTTTTTTGTTATATAAGAAATCTTATCCAGTGTCAGTTGGTTGCTGCCTTTACATAACTCAAACCCTATAAAATCTGTGGCCTATGTTATTAGTTTTCTACAACTCTGAGCCTTAAACGTGGTGGTGTGAATTCCAAAAGATGCCATTAAAGCTGTGAGCTCTTTCCTAAGCTGGAAGACTTTCTTGTTATCATAGCATGTGGGACTTTTTACAGTACAGAACTGCCAAAGTATAACTGTATACTGTGCCTTAGTGTATGTTGTAACACGAAACGTCATTTCTGTCGGAGCACATCTTTTCATTTCTGAAACGAGATCAGTTTTTGTGAATAAGAAACATACTTTTCTTTGAAATATACATGCCAACCGTAACCATACTTTATCGAAAGTATCTAAGTTAAAAAAAAATATATCTAAATTTTTTCAACATCTGATCATAAAATGACTTTTGTGGGATTTATTTTTCCAGAGTAAAACAATATATACAATACTGATTTTTGCCTTTTCCTGCTCTAAAAGACCAAAAATGTATAGAGATTTCCTAGATCTCAGATAATTTCCTGCACTGTAGCATGAAGGTGCCTTTGGTTTGGAATCTCCAGCTTAGAAAAGACAGAAGAAAAAAAAACTTAAGAATCACTAATTGTAGCAAAACCAAAAAAGAGGAAAAAAGTATATGGGAAAAAACGGATCACCACATTGCCTTTTTAGGTTTTGTAATAAATTAAGGAACATGTGTTTCAATGGAGATAGAAAGATTTATTACAGCGACAATTTGCTATACGTTAAAATGGAAAACGTATATTTCAGTGATGATGGCTCCTTTGAGCTGCATTCATAAGCAGGAAAACAATTTAGCAGAATTTTTTAACCTGTGCTGCTTACATCATTTTCTGAACGATAAGTACAGTGATTATTGGTTTAATTAGTATTAACTGCCTTGGACCTCTTAATTGTCCCTTAAAGATAAATGGAAAAAGTAGTGAACTCACAAGAATCACCAGTTTTGGGTTAAAACTGCACTTGATACATAACTTGATTGCATAGATACTGCTGTTAAGGGTTGTTACCCAACGTTGAACACTACAGATAAAGTTTTTATATTCTTATTTTTAAAAATAGAATAGCCAACCACATTTGGCCTGGATGAGTTCTGTGTTGCAGTGCTGAAATGGAGATCATCAGGGCGTAGACGCCAAGGTGAATGTTACTTGACTGTTAGAATACACACTAACTTACATGCAACTGACAGAATGGACATTGATTCCCGAGCTGCTAGTTAATCACTTCTGAAATAATGAATCTTGTTTTTCTAGGTGCCAGAATAAACCCCTGTCCTTATTTTGTCCCTGTTCTTGTTCAGCTATACCAGTCTTTGGCTGGCATGTCAGTTCCTCAGTTTTAGAGATTTAGAGTAATATCCTCAGTGGTCTCATACAATGGCAATGGTTTTAGAGCAACCTAACTCAATAGAGGAAAACGAATCCAAACTATGTTCGCACAGCGTGGCGCCATGTGCCTGGAGTAGACTATGGAGTTTTGTATTATTTACAATCAAATAGACTTTGTCTAACCTCCTTTTTGGTGTATGACAGCTGTCTTGCCCTGTGTACTTTATGAATAACTTAATGAGGTAAACTCAGTTCCTGTTTTATTGTGCTACATGTATGCAACAGTTTTTTGTGATGACTTCATTATTCTCTGGACTTAAGTCAGTGGTTATACTGTTACTGCTGCACTGCTGGTACATTTGGTAAGTCGGTTCCATTTAGAAACCTCTTGAGATGCCTCCTTTAAGTGGACATAAAATTTTATTACCTTTTACATAATGAATGTTTAGATGGTGTTTTATTAATATGGACACTACATGAGGACGTCTACAGGAATTTCGACGCAAACATATCAGCAGTTTAGCTCTTGTCATGTTTGTATTTGTCTGTTTGTAGGTACTGGTACCTTTTGTTTATTACCATTCTCAATGTTGGCTTTAAAGTGAACTTCTTAAAGCTCAGATAGCATCATGAAAACTATTGGGTTTGTGTGCAGATTTTAAAGGTGCTTTGTATAAAGAAAAATCATGTATCCTGGCTTCTCTGGGCACAAAATTGTGTGAAACCTTTACTATCCATAACGAGGGTAAGCGGAGGGGCAAGAAAAGTGAAAAGAAAATTGCTTAGTGTGTGTGTGTTCATTACTGCAAATGGTCTCGTCTTTGCTCCGTAACATTTTGATGCCTTCTTGATACAGTGGTAGATATTTTGTAGCTTTCTAGAAAATTTGTATGCAGATAATATCAAATGAAAATAAATGATAAAACAGTGTCCTCTCGTGTTTGACTACATGTCAAGGCACCTGTCTGCGCGTGTGTTGTGGAAATGTGTTGCGTTGTCAATTCATTTTTTATAAATGAAACGCCTCCCTGCCCTTAAATAAATGCATCCCTGTCACTGTTTACACAAATTCTGACCCACAGCAAAGCAACGAAGATTTTCATACAGATGAGAATAGTACTAATCAGTATAATGAATTTAGTTAAAATGAAGTTTAGTTTTAAAAATTCAGGCTTACTGCATTTGCCGGGCAGCAGGGCGCTATTGTTAGTGAAACGTTAGATTTAAGGGCAAAAGCCTGCCAATTCAAACGTATGAAAGACGTAGTTTTACAACTGACTAATTAGTTTTACCCTACCTTATTACCCTATTTATTAAACTGTAAAATAATAACACGAAAATATATACATCAGGAAGTAAACGTAGGCATAGCGTGAAAGCTTTTTAAAATCAAATTATACGCCCACGATAAACTGTCCATAACCGAGTCCAGGGGCGGTATGGCTGCCAACTACCTGGTTAGAGGTAATTACATTTCTAAAGCGGAAGCCTGTTTAAGTAACTCTGAATAAAGATGATTGTTAAGACAGGGCCCGTGTATAATTAACTGTCTCTTTTACGAGGCTATTAGTTTCAGACTGCGTGAATGCAACTAATAATCTTGAATCTAAGATATGAAATCTGACTCAGGTAAGAAAACACGATTGCTATAGTAAGCACGTCCTATATATAGTAAAGTACACAGGATACTATCACATGGTGACATGAGATATTTTCCTTGGTTTTCAGCAACAGGTTACGATCACTAAAGTGACGGCCGACGCCACACATTTCTCTGAGGGCGCATGAATAAGGTAAATATTGTTTATGTATGTGATCATTTTACATGGCAAGAGCGATTAAGAATTCTGTCTTCAATGAGTGACATTATGATACAGTCCAGGTTCATGACCGCAAACATTCAGTTCTTTGAATGTATTTACTGTGGCCTATCTTGATTGCTTTTCGACTTCTTTTGGATTGGATCATACGGATGAATATGTATGCACGTCTAGCAGTTATGAGAGAATATTGGAATTCAGTTAGAAAGCAAAATACTTTTAATTAATGGTCTCCATTAAAATACCAATTGATTATTAATGAGCGACTTCTCAAAATCTAATGCGAACTCTGCTTAGTTCTTTCAAATTTATCGTGTTTCGCAGACCGACTTCAATTTTACATAAGAGTTTAAGTATGTTGAGGAAAATTGAAAACGTCCAGTTGGATTATTGTATGAATTTACGAATTAAAAATATACCACTATGGTATTCTCTCATTGAGCACAAGAGGGAGCCATAGTCAAATATATGACAGCGGGATTTACGTAAAGCGCGTTAAAAAAAAAAAAAAAAGTAACCAGTTTCTTGGCCCACTAATGATTCTAGTTTTTTTTCCTATACATTCATTATTATGCAAGTAAATCACTATATGCAGCTAGCGACATAAAGTCCTAATTGAGAAATAAATATCCACACATGATGCTTGTATGGTTTTTAAAACACACCTGTTATCTATTTTACTCTACAGTGGGTTTTACATTATCTGTAAGTATATGAGTGCATTTTGAAAATTAACTTCACATATCATATCCTTGGGGCTCTGACAGCCCCCTGCTTCAGTTTCCACGGATCATACGCAATATGATGTTTGGGTTTGGGTGGAACACGCTGCTACTTCAGGGCTCAAGGTGGAAGGTTCCCTGAGAAGCTTCACCCTGGTTTCATATCAGCCTGTAATTTGGGGAAGAAACACCTTGTTGCGGGAGCGGAAAGCTGAGATGTTAGTCTGCGATTTGTGGAAGATTACACAGGCAGATGGTAAAACGTAATGGGTGATGTAATGAAATCCAAGCTTAAACGGCTCACAATAGTTTATCTTAATAGCATAGAATGTTCAGATTCATTATATCACAGATGTCATTATTTCACTATAAAAAGTAATGGCATTGTTTGGTCTAAGGGGCACCTGCATTGAGAGAGAGAGAGAGCAGAGGCATGCCAGCATATTTGCTGGATTCCACTTTTTCCTCACATATTTTGGGGGGAAAAAAGAAACTGGGAATGAGAGTTTTGGAAACATGTTGCTGTAGGAATGACACTCTCTGTGCGCACTCTGTCGTAGAGCCCGTAATCATCATAAACTGCAAGTGAAAGATTTATTTGTGATTTTATCAACACCTTTGACTTCCTGAATACAAGATGTGTAAAAGAAGTGGAATAAAATATCACCCAAAAATGTCTGTTGGTTAGTTGTTATCTGTAAATGGATACACAAGACAGGAATACCTTACCAGGGTTGGACATTCCAACAAAGAGCAGAAACTTCGGAGTGTATCCTGTATCTGTGTTTGTAAAATCTCATTCTGACTCTCCATGCTACTATTTATTGTGTCTCAGCATCTCCGCAGGATTGTGGGTAATCCAGTGAATGAGATCCTTCATCCATTTTTTTCCCCTCTGAGTTAGAGTCTGAGCATAGAGTCTGAGTTAATCAAACCCTTAAATAAGCGATTCAAACTCTGAAGCCTTTCCTTTCTTCCTGAAGCAGGCAAGCTTTGGCACAAAGAAACAAAGCCAAACTGAGGGAAACTTAATTTGCCCTGGTGTCCATAAAGCACAGGAATGTTTCTCTGGCTCAACGAAAATGGTCCTGCATTAACGCTGCAAAACCAAATTTGTTAGTTTGTGAGTTATTCTTTATACACATAAATATTTCAATTAATTAATATCATTGTGCATCTAGAAATTTAATTAGTTATATGTAACAAGTTTATATAACAAGCTGTGGTGCAGTTGGCAAGCAAGTCACAATGTGATTTATATAAATAGAGTGGCTCATTAAAGCTCATTTAGCTCACACTTCACCAATTGAACAGCCAGCTTTTAAGATGCCTGGGATGCATGGCCCAGCCCTTCAGGAAACAGTGAAGTCTTTATAAAATTCTTAAAAAGAATTGCCACTTTAAGTGTTTCATGCCTCAGTGAGGAACTCTTTTAATTTTCTAAAAAGATCTAAATCTTAAGAATTTTGGTGCAGTGAACTGTAATGTGTCACACATAAACACACGTATATAGGCCTATATGTTGAATTTAATATCTTCTCTTTACATTTAATTTAATTATGAGAAAAAAATGCTGACTGAAGAACCCATGTTAATTGGACAAGCACGGCATCGTGGGTCAAAATGACTTTTCTGTCGTGCAACTTTTCTCGTGCTAAAAAAAATAATGGGTGGAGTCAGAGTCCTGTTTTACGTGAACTTAGTGTTAGACTTGTCATGTGATCACAGAAAGAAGGGAAGCCCGGGGCCCCGGGCCAGTGCGCGCGACTGTCTGCCAGTGCAGTGCTCCGCCACGTGAAGCTGTAGCTCGCAGTTCTGTGCGTCCTAACTTCGGGATCAGGTTTTCTTAAGCGTACCGGTACACATTCTTTTAGGTTACTTTCGCATGTAATTGTAATTAAGCATCGGATTTAGAAATGCGGAACCTATACACTTGACACTATTTGTAGGATTGAGAAGTTTCATGGCTTTTGAATTTACACCGGCAAGCAAGTGACATTTCAGACCTGAAGTACTCTGTCGGACTCATTTTAGCAATACAGAAATGGATGTGGAGGAATGCAAAATATCTGTGTGGGTTTGCCGAGAGGAGAAGCTGGTCTCCGGGTTGTCCAGGCGGACTACCTGCGCCGATGTTGTCAAAGTTCTTCTCGAAGATCAGAATTTACACCAAGGCACGACTATGTTGTCTGGGTCTGCGCAATCCTACTGTATTGTGGAAAAATGGAGAGGATTTGAAAGGATTCTGCCAAACAAGACGAAAATACTTCGCCTGTGGAACGCATGGGGAGAGGAGCAGGAAAACATAAGATTTGTCCTGGTTAAAAATGAGGCATCTTTACCCAACACGGGACCGCGGAGCGCCGAGGCGCGCGTCGTGTTGAGCAGGGAGAGTCCGCGAGTCTATAAGGGCACCGCACGGGCGACCATGACTCTGTCCCCAGAAAAACAGAGAAGAATTGTTAGAAAGGCTTTCAGAAAGCTGGATAAAATTAACAAGAAGAGAGCAGAAGCTCTAACTAAGGATACATCCTCTGTTGAGAAGATGGAAACTTTAGTACATCTAGTAATATCACAAGATCATACTATTCGCCAGCAGATTCAAAGGATTAGGGAGCTTGACAGAGAGATTGACATGTACGAAGCAAAAATTCACTTCGACAGGATGAAAAGACATGGGATCAATTATGTGCAGGACACATACCTGGTGGACTCGAAACCTGAGCTGGATTCGGTTATTCAAAGTGACCAGCCGTGTCCCGCAGAGACCTTTTCCAAGTTTGAGGAGTATGCCAGAAGATGCGAAGAAGTTCTCATGCTGCAGGAGAAACTGGCCGAGCAAGAATCACTGATGGACAGTATTACTGCAGAAATACAAGAGGAGCTGAACCAGAGCTGGATGAAACGACGGCAGAAGGAGCTGGCCGGCAGAGACCCAGAGAGCGGCTGGCAGGAGGCGGCGGCCCCCGTGCTTACAGCGGGCGCATCGGCAGAGACGGACATTTCACCCGATAATGAGTCGCTTTTGGAAGAGGAGAGGATTAAAACACAACTGGACACGAGCTTATATATTGGGCTACGTTTGAACACGGACCTGGAGGCTATTAGGGGCGATCTGAATCTGAGCCAGGAGTTATGGGATGCGAAAGATAAAGAACTGAGGAGTCTGTTCGAGAAAGTTAACGCTTTGGATACGGAGGAAGCGGCAAAAGAGTCGGAGGAGGAGAAAGAAAATACCTCGGTGGTGACTGAGAATGTGATGTCGCCGTCCTTAGAGAGGGACTGCGAGTGGGTGGAACAGGCCAGGGGGCTCTCAAAGACCTGCGGCACTAACGACGAGGACTCGGACACGGGGCTCAGCTCCATGCACAGCCAAGACTCGGACAAT